CTGAGATGTCTGTACAGGAACCAGTTGGTGGAAGCTTGTAAGCTCTGAGAGTGTCAATAGAGTTTGAAAGAGTGAATGAGAGAGAGATTCCCTTCAGGACTGCTGAATGCAACTAACAGTGGATAGTACATAGTCGTACTTAACAGCAAGAATATACTTCATCATTTAGAGATCATGCCAGGTGCAAAGAGCTGGCCCATGAAAGTTACCATGGAGACTATTAGAAAACGTGGGAAGTTCAAAATCAGTACTTATTTCATGTTATCTCCACAAAATATGAAATGTTAAAACCATGCATAGTAATGGTATGCAGAAAGCTAATTATATAAATGACAGCTACAATATTGAGATTAATAGAATTTTCTGAGATAATTCAAGTAATCCAATTGCTATTATACAGGGAATTCATTTTCTATACACAACTGAAACTGCCTCAACTGCTAAACAAAAATCCATTCATTTATGGGTTTCCTTCATTTTCAACTTTATAATGGTGATCTTAGCTGCTCTTAAGGCCATCAATGCCTAATTAGTCAATCATTAATCTCCAGGAAATGCCCTGTGTCTCCATTGTTATTGCTTAAATAAATACATAATGTCATAACAACATGTACTAGCTAGAATCTACCTAGGATGCATAAAAATTAGAAAGTGAGTTTCATAATTTGTGACTAAGGCCTTTTATTCAGTTATATCACCATGGAATAACAAGTCCCCATTGCAAACCATCTCTGAAAATAGCTCTACCTTATAAGAAGAAAGAAAATTCTTATTCTTAAGCGAACAAGATGTGAATCAGAACTACTGGGAGTGTGATATCCTTCTGAGAAGCAATATATCTCTTTTAAAACAATCTATGTAGAATGACTAATCCTAATCACAGATCATGTTCTAACATCAGTTTTTAAATAGTCTCTAGTGAAATCAAGTAAGGCATTCTCCCTTAAAAATACTAGGATTCACTGATTCCAAGACCAGAACAGACCATTGTGATCATCTAGTCTGATTTCCTGTATAACATAGGCCATTGAGCTTCCCCAAAATAATTCCTTGAGCATATCTTTTAGAAAAACATCCAATATTAATTTAAAAATTGTTAGTGAAAGATAATCTACGACGTACCTTGGTAAATTGTTCCGGGTTTTACTCATCCTTATCTCTTAATAGTTCAGATACAGCTACAGAAAAGTGGTCCAAAGTGTGGAAGGGAATTACAACTAGTTCCAAGATATATTTTCTTTCAGTTGCAAAAATAATGCACATTCAAAAAAATACTCATCTATTACTTCTTGACTGCACTGCTGGAGTCCCACCCAGTTAAAAGACTTTCTAGGCTGAATCACAGCCAAGTAAAAATGAGCAACTACACTTTCCCCATATATTAATGAATCTGTTTTTTGATTAACTATTTTTAAAGAATAATGAAAACTGAACAAGGAGAGAAAACAAATGAGCCACAGCTAGTACATGATTGCTCTGTTTACTTTTTGTGGTAATTCAGATAGAAATGCTGCCCTAGAATGCCTGTATGCAGCTCTCCTTAACTTCAGTGGAAGTTGTGAGTGTGCACCTGATGACAGAATTTGGTTCTAAGATTTAAATAGGGGGTTATTAGTATAGTATTATGAGATCACTTCTGAAATACACAGCCAGAATAAAAGCTAAGGAATACTAGAAGTAAAGTTGGCTCTCCATTTCAGCCTTATAGCATAAGTCTGTCAAATGACACACATTAGTTTTGTTAAAGTCTTAGCTTCCAGGTCACAGAATTACGAAGTTTCAATATAAGGCTGTATTCAATGGGTGGCATGCACGGAACAGAGGCAATTGCATCTGTACAAAAATTCTGGCACCGTTGATATCAAGCCAATTGATGAAGTTTCCTTTATCAGTGGTAACACTCAAAGGGCAATGCAACCTCCATTCTATTAAAAAGGGTCTAATTCTGCAAGATACTGGGCTTTGATACTGCAAGATACTGGGCTTTGAGAACTCTCATATTTATACCTGTGTATATCTGGACTAACTCTACCAAAGTCATTGAGTTACTCTGTTTGTGCTGGTACAGCGAAGAGCAGAATTTGGCACAATGACTTCAGCAGGAGTTGAGTGCACACAGAACCTTGCAGAATTTGATCCTCATAGCGGCAGTATGGTATTCTGAAACCCTGCACAGGAACAACATAGTATTTTTTAATCTAATGTCAGCTCAATTTAATGGCCTATGCCAAAGTATAGCAGAATTATTTATAACATCTTATACCTGCCTTTGACTTTCCACAAGAAAAATCCTTATTGTGCAAGTACAAACAAAACAGAATATTTTAAAAAGCAATATATTGAGTATTTTTCACACCCTGGCAACAAATCAGGGCATTTAATTTTATTAAATATACTAACTTCCATGTCACAGAATTATGAACACTTCTAATGCAAAAAATATACAGGGCAATTGCCTTCCACAGAAAAACATAGCATACACACACTATCCCCAGGGGAAATCTCAGTTAACAGTGGCATCCTCTTCTAGGAACAGCACATGCTGAATGTGATGATGTTTTTAGCTCTCTTCAACATTTCAATACAAAGTAGTAACTTTGAAGTAAATGTAAATTGATAATTGTAATACACCAAAATACAGTAAGCTGCATCATTTAATTCTTTAAGGGCCTTATCTAGAGATCATTGAATGGATCAGGCCTTATGCCAAGAAATTCTCACAGTGGTTGGGGAGTGCTTTAGTGTAACTCACCCAAAAGGGCAAATCTTTTGGTATCCCACGTCCACTAATGGTGCAATTTACATTCTGCCATAAACATCACTGCAACAGTGTCAGAGTCACTTATCTGGAAATTAGTAGGGAACTTTCACATTTACTTTAGATGTTCTTTTTAGAATTAATACAAATATTGCAGCTTGATCCCAATAACCAACTCATTTTTTATGATTCCTCTATCTCTGAAGGTATGAATAATACTGACGGGGCACAGTCATCATGTCTAATGATCAACCAAAAGATCTGATTTCATAGGATATTTCAGATTTGTCAGAGATGGGTAAACACTGGCATTCTAGAAAACACAACTGGATTCAGATACATTTCCTTTCCATGCCAGTGACGGTTCTTATTCAAAAACAAATCTATTTATCACTTCCTGACACTGCCGTTGGGCAGGGTATCCTGCTACAGGGTGGAACATCAGATTGTTCAAGGAAAACTGGCCCTTGGCCAATGGAAATTTCATATTTTATGGAGCCTGCTACTATTCTGCAGTGATTCATAAACTTCAGCAGTGCTAGGTATGGCATGTGTGAACAGAAAAAAAATGTGCCTTTTCATCCAAAAAGAAATAGCTATTTATAAGAGCTCAAATACATGGCTCCTGTCTCTGTATTTTCCTGTGCCATGTGTCATGAGTTATATATATTTCGATTGAAATACAAAGTTTAGGAATTTCAAAACATTTAATAATGTGATCACTTTTGTGTTGTTAAACATAGTTTATGTTTAGTGCATTTGAATTTAAATGTTGAAACCATATGTTAAAAGTTTCATATAGGAGCTTTGTTGCAGATAATTTATTTTATTCCTGAATCTCTGGCTGGAAACAGGGCCGGCTTTATGAACTGCAGGGCCCGATTAGAATACCCGGCAGCAGTCCGGGGCTTCGGCGGCATTTTGGCGGTGGGGGGTCCATTCCGGGTCTTCCGCAGCACTGGAGGACCCCCCCGCCGCCGAAATGCCGCGGAAGACCCGGAGCAGACCCCCCGCCACCGAAGTGCCGCCAAAGACCCAGAGCGGACCGCCGCCAGGTGAGTAAAAAAAAATTAAAAAGGCACCTAAGGCACGGGGCCCGATTCTGTGGAATCGGGGGAATCGGCCTAAAGCCGGCCCTGGCCAGAAAGATTCCTTCAATGGCCTCTGTAGCTTTCTCTTCTAATCCATTTTCCCTTCCTTACCCTCTACCCCCTCTTGTCATAAGATCTCCAGCCTTCTTTCTTCCCATCACTTTCACCTCACCCCTCTCTTTCAGAAATCTTATTCCCACTTCCATTTTATGATCTGCCAGCTGCTTTATTCAGCTTGCCTTTAGAATGCACACTTGTAAACCTTTTATACACCCCACAGCCAGATACATTACCCCCATTGCCAAGCTTATGCTCCCTCTGAACTTTTGCTGCATATTCCAGAAACCCATTTTGACCTTTCAGTTTCCCATTCCCTGAAACTCTTCACTCTCAGACCCTAGCTTCAAAACCATCATCCTAGCTCCATTTTCATCGCTGCTCCCCTTTTCTCACTCTTCCCAACCTGTAGGCTATGGCAACAGCTGCCTCCTCTCATCCTTTTGTCAATTCCAGGCTTTATCCCCCACTTCCCAATTTTCCCCTTGTGACGTTATTGACATGAACTGTCACCGTATAGATCATAGATGCAACCAACGTCCTATAGTGGCACCAAATCTTGTACAAAGGAGGTCAAGTGAGTTGTCTATGAGAAGGTTATGATTTGCTGGTTATGATTATGCTATCTGTATGCATGTATCATTTTTGTATTTAAAGTTATAAGTATTGGCTCTATACTGTCTGTAGTTCAAACTTATGCTATGCTTCTGGGTGACACCCCAGACAATTTGGCATCAGCACTCACTAGCCTGCTTGATGGCCCATTAAGGACCATCAGCTATACAATTGACCCATTGAGAGAAGGCAGATACACCTTGTGACTCAGCAAGGCATTCAGGGACATGCCTATGGACAGAACTCTAATGTTTTTCCATGCCATGTGCTGGGTAGCTTGTGTTTGGAACAAAGGAAGCACAAGTCACATGGCAAAAGGACTATAAAAGGCAGCTGCATATCTCCATTTTGTCTTCAGTCCTGCTTCTTACCTCTAGAGGAACTTTGCTACACTGAAGCTCTGAACAAAGGACTGAATGACCCATCCAAGCTGTGGATGTACTCCAGAGACTTGATCTGTGCCTGCAGTTTATTCCATCACTGCTACAAGCCTGAACCAAGAACTTTGCCATTACTGTATGTAATTGATTATTTTAACCATATTTAGCCCTCATCTATACTTCTTTCTTTTTATGAATAAACCTTTAGATTTTAGATTCTAAAGGATGGACAACAGAGTGATTTGTGGGTAAGATCTGACTTATATATTGACCTGGGTCTGGGGCTTGGTCCTTCAGGATCGGGAGAACCTTTTTTCTTTTACTGGGGTATTGGTTTTCATAACCATTCATCCCCATAAGGAGTGGTGCTGGTGGTGATACAAGGGAACTGGAGTATCTGAGAGAATTGCTTGTATGACTTCTGGTTAGCCAGTGGGGTAAAACCAAAGTCCCTCTCTGTTTGGCTGGTTTGATGTGCCTTAGAGGTGGAGAACCACCAGCCTGGGGCTGTGACTGCCCTGCCCTAAGCAATTTGTCCTGAATTGATATTCTCAGTAGTGTCCCACCAAAGGCCGCCTTGTTACGCCCCTCTCCTTTCAAGTGCCCCCCATGTCTTCCCACTTTGCTTCCTCTCCTCCTTTAGCCATAACTTAAAGTCCTGGCTATCCCTCTTCCTCAGTCCGAGTCCCTGATCCCTTGATAGTGACTGTCATACAGACGATACAACATAAAACTGTATTGTACCATAGCATTCTACAGAAAATAATGATGTTCAGGAATGTGTTTGACAGCAAAGAGCATTCTTTTTTACCTGCTTTCCTTTGGTTTTGTAAAGCTGCACATCAAAAGCTGAAAGTAATGTACCTAGTAAGAGGAGTCAGGAGGAAAATTATGATGGTGTTATAGTGATGAGAATGTTGAAGAAACGAGCATCCATAATGGTAAATGTCATTATTTATATTGTTATTTACATTGCATTATTTACATTGACTGTTGCTGCCTTTCAGAAGCCATCCCACAATGCCCCACACAGACAGTTCAATCGGTGTAAGCACTCCTGGTGAGGAGGATGCACACCGCCGACATGAGAGGTGTAGTGAGGAATGCAAAAGTGATTTTATTACTGCAGTGGCCGTACGTCAGTGTAACTTAGATCAACCTGCCCTTAGGGCAAGTCTACACCATAAATTTACATTGGCACAGCTGCGCTGCTGTAGCACGTCTGGTGAAGACACTCTAAGCTGATGGGAGAGCTCTCCTGTCAATTTAATAACTTTACCTCAGCGAGAGGCAGTAGCTATGTCAACAGGAGAAGCTCTCCCACTGACACAGCGCTGTCTACACGGGGCGTTAAAGTCAGTATAACTACATCGCTCAGGGGTGTGGATTTTTCACACCCTGGAGTGACACAGGTATTCTCAAGTAAGTATGTAGTGTTGACCAAGTCTCAGTTTCACATCTGTAAAATGGAGATAACTTGATTAACCACTTCACAGGGATGCTGTAGTAATTAATGTCTGTCCAGCACTTCTGCAGAGCACTAAGTGACAAGCATTATTATTACTATTGTTTACTGACAGTTATGTGTCGGGGTTGTTCTGTATTATAATAAACTTCATTGGCAAAAGCATAAAATAGCAGCACAAAATAAGTCAGCATATACATGCAGGAGCCCACATCACCCCTTTAAAGTTCAGGAAGAAGATGGAGCAGGGGGCTAATTTAGACAGTTTTTGTTATATTAAATCCCATTTCCTCTCCTTACAGGAAGTAAGCCTGTTCTCATTCTTAAAGCCATGTTTTAAGATGTACCGCAGTTAGCAACAGAATTTGTCCACTTTAACTAAGGGTTACCAAGTTTTTAAAATATTCAGAATAAAAGATTAAATTAATAAGATCCGTGATGAGCCGCTTAAATTTATATGGCTTGTTTCACCCTAACAGATCCAAAAGAGTGTTGTAATTGGTTATACAGGAATTCCTAGCCACTAGACTCATAGAACTGTCGATCCAGTAGACATTGCCCTGGCCCATCCCCATTGCTTCCCTCTCTCCAGTTTATTCAGAGAGCTTACTCAGCACACAACCCTCACCTGCATCACAGAATATTCTATCTAAAGCAGCTGCTCTGCCATTACTCCCAGTCTCAATATAGAGGGCTTCTGTGCATGGAGAGCCTTGCGGTGGAACTCTCTACAACAAGGGTAGAGCTCATATGTGCAGGAGACAGAATTTTCTTGGGGGCTGGTCAAGACTGTGGAATGAACTACCACAGGCAGGGGCGGCTCTATGTTTTTTGCTGCCCCAAGCATGGCAGTCAGGCGGCCTTCGACGGTTACGCAGATTCGTTCGGCGGCATTTCTGTGGGTGATCTCCCGGTCCCGTGGCTTCGCCATACCCGCCGCCGAAACCACCGGACCGCCGGACCTCCCGCAGGCACGCCGCCGAAGGCCCCCTGACTGCTGCCGTCACAGCGACCGGCAGGCAGCCCCCCACGGCTTGCCGCTCCAGGCACGAGCTTGCTGCGCTGGTGCCTGGAGCCGCCCCTGACCACAGGACCTAAGGACCATCACAAACCTTATCACCTTCAGCTCCAAGTGCAAGGTGCTTTTCTTTGACTTTGCCTTCTCTCACATAAATATACAGCAACAGGAATATTTAAAAAAAAAAAAAGCTACCACCAAAACAAGACACTCCTCTCCACACAATTTTCCTGCTAGGGAGAGGCTGAGAGACCAAACAGCACATGACAGGTACTAGTTGACATCCTTTACTGCTCTACTTAAAGGCACTCAAATACTTTAGGGATGAGCATAGTCTAAGAACCTATATAGAATAGAATTCTCAAGTCCAGACCGTTTTGTCCAAATCCACTTTCTCTGACCTGCTAATTTTCCAGAAACAAAGACTGGATGGAGAAGACAGGGAATGGGAAGCACAGAATATATATGGTTTTGTTATATTTAAAACTGCAGGTACATATTCTCATGGTTTATAAACTTTATGCTCAATCACTTTTACAATCCCAAATAATCTTTATTATTATGTGGCACTGAAGGTGCCATTTATTATTTAAATCAACTTTCTTCTAATGCAGAGAGAGAGATGGACCGAATGCTGTTTCCACTAAAGTTAACAGAAGCTGTCAACTGACTTAACTGTGACCTGGATTGGGCCCCTTATAAAAAGTTTATATATGAAAAAAAAATCTGCAAATAAATAATCCTTTTCCACCAAAAATGGATTTATATAAATATTCTGGGTTTCTTGTTTTGTTTTTTGTTTACATATGTGCCTCAGTTTAAGTGAAATTAAAACCAGAAATGCTATTAATATACATTTGAAATATTAATAATAAACTAAATTATGTGGCTGAATTCTATGCTCACCTAATCCTTTGTTACAATCCAACAGGTTGAAAATCTGCCCAACACTAAAGTGGCAGTTAAAGAAAATCCATGCTGGCAAATTTCTATTGACTTTGGTAATTATTTAACAAGCCTGATAGCTGCAAGTAAATAATTCTTGTGCAAAGTTTCCAGGATCAAAGGCTTGCCCTAGGATTGGGCTAGGGAACGGTACGGCTGGCTGACCTTACAGTATTGTGCTTTCTTTTTTGTGGCTCTTTTTTCAGGCTTTTTCCTGAATTGTATGAATATTTCATGACTAACTGTGCGTACCGTAACAGACAAAGAGCCAATAGATTGGTAATTTGACATGCTATTTATTGGATGTGCCCCAAACATGGAGTGAAAAGGACTCTGATTTTCTGTTGAATAATCATGAAATGCAATATGGTTAGCTCTGGAAACTTTATCTCTACCTTAACCTAGCTAATTGCTGTTGGGTGAAGAGGCAAAGGATATGATAAGAACTCACAGCTGGAAAGGAAAGAAATGTAGTGAGTGATATAGTTAGACAAAGATAGAATGCTATATATCATAAACACGTACATTTAACACAGAAGTTAATTGTAAAAAAGAAAAACATTATCTAAAATCTTTGCTTATCTTACCAAGTGCTAAGCCTTACTATTGGTAAAAAGTGACTAAATATTTTGGGTTATCAATTCATAGGAAATAAAATATTTTTTCTGCAATTGGGCAACATCTACATTTTTGTAGCAGAAGAGTTATTTAGACACAGAAACTTAGGTTTTTTTGGACTATATATATGTGGGAAATTTTGAGCTGAAGTGATTTCCAAGAAACTGCTTTAGAAGCAGTTTTTTGCATATCAAAAGAGCATGTTAGAAGGGTATTTGCTGATGGGAAATGCAAAGTTCTAAGACAAGAGCAGAAGTGGTCTCACTTGACTAACTGGGCACAAAAGGAGTCTTCACATTCATCCCCCTCTTCCGTGCCCTCAAAACAAAAAACACTAGGTTGGTCAATCGAAGAGAGAAACAGGAGCATGGGGTACAAATTTAAATATGAAGCCATTTTAGTGCGTTAAGTAAACATCAGGGCTGTCGATTAATCGCAGTTAACTTACACGTTTAATTTTAAAAAATTAATCGCGAATAAAAATATTAATCATGATTAATTGCAGTTTTAATCACACTGTTAAACAACAGAATACCAATTAAAATTTATTAAATATTTAGGAATTTTTTCTACATTTTCAAATATATTGATTTCAATTACAACACAGAATACAAAGTGTACATTGCTCACTTTATATTACTTTAATTACAAATATTTGCACTGTAAAAATGATAAACAAAAGAAATAGTATTTTTCAGTTCACCTCATACAAGTACTGTAGTGCAATCTCTTTATTGTGAAAATGAAACTTACAAATATAGATTTTTTTTGTTACGTAACTGCACTGAAAACAATGCAAAACTTTAGTGCCTACAAGTCCACTCAGTCCTACTTCTTGTTCAGCCAAATTAAACAAGTTTGCTTACATTTACGGGAGATAATGCTGCCCACTTCTTGTTCACAATGTCACCTGAAAGTGAGAACCGGCGTTCGCATGGGACTTTTGTAGCCAGCATTGCAAGGTATTTACATGCCAGATATGCTAAACATTCGTATGCCCCTTCATGCTTCGGACACCATTCCAGAAGACATGCTTCCATTCTGATGATGCTCGTTAAAAAAATAATGTGTTAATTAAATTTGTGACTGAACTTCTTGGCGGAGAATTGTATGTCTCCAGCTCTGTTTTACCTGCATTCTGCCATATATTTCATGTTATAGCAGTCTCGGATGATGACTCAGCACATGTTGTTCATTTTAAGAACACTTTTGCTGCAGATTTGACAAAACACAAAGAAGGTACCAATGTGAGATTTATAAAGATAGCTACAGCACTCAACCCAAGGTTTAAGAATCTGAAGTGTCTTCCAAAATATGAGAGGGATAAGGTATGGATCATGCTTTCAGAAGTCTTAAAAGAGCAACACTCCGATGCAGAAACTACAGAACCCAAACCACTAAAAAAGAAAATCAACCTTTTGTTTTTTTACAGTGCAAATATTTGTAACAAAAAATAAATATAAAATGAGCACTGTAGACTTTGTATTCTGTGTTGTAATTGAAATCTATATTTGAAAATGTAGAAAACATCCAAAAATATTTAAATAAATGCTATTCTGTTATTGTTTAACAGTGTGATTAATCATTATTAATGTTTTTAATCGAGCGATTAATCGTGATTAATGTTTTTAATCGCTTGGCAGCTCTACTAAACACACGAAGTATATAAACACCCTAAGAAATACAAGGAAAAGTTAACTGAGCCACTAACAGAGAACCTGCATATTGCATTAAGAAGTGCAGTGGCTGACTGATTAAGATGCTTCACTACAATCCTGAAGATTGTGGATTTGAGTCTTGCTAGATCTCACACTGAAAGTCCACCTCTTTTTCACCCCTTTGCAAAATAGGTACCTGATCCATCAGGTTTGGCGATCAAATGTGATGCTGGCCACATCACTTCCTTACGTACCATTGGCTATGAAATTGACGTACCATAACCATGTCAGCTCCACTAGCCATTGGTTTGGGGGAACTTTGACTTTATATTACGTTAATCAGCCAGCACCCAGGTATAAATCTTCACTGACAAGCTCAACACATTTGTGACTACCAAAAGAGAGAGGCTGGGAAATGCAGAGCTAAAAAACCTGAATGTGATTTCTGCAACGCTGACTCTTCAAATCTTTTGTACCGTTTATTTTTAAAAAATTCACTAATAAAATTTAAATGTGTTCTTAGGCTGACCCAGGCACTCTTTGGCTTTTGTCTGCCCACATTCTGCTCATTGACAGTTATCAGCTCTGAATCAGACCTGCACCCACCCCTGGCTGGTAGTCATTTGTTAACTATATATCTTGGCTTCTATACTCTGTAGTTTTATTTTTGACAGGGAGGGGCACAAACCAAAACCCTAGATTTAAACTTCCCTGAACTTTGGCAGTGGAGTGGGGGTTGAAATATAGATCCAATTCTGAATTTGGCAGCTCTCACCCACTTCATGGGTAAAGCTCCCACAGTTAGGGTCTCAGGAAACATGAAAAATCTTATTTGCCTTCCTCACAGAACCCCTGCACATCCTCAGCACAAAAAAAGATCATTATACATCATATTACAGACTAACCAACGTGCTGAAGAGTCTGAAACACAATTGAATTCACTCCATTGGGTCCAGTTTCTCTCCTGCCACTGTCTGTGTTTTGGGATTCCCTTCACACACAGAGTATCTGGGATCTCTGCTCTTCTGCTAGATGCACTTTTAATATTATGTGCAGCAGAAATCCTGCATTATTTTGCAATTTTACAGGAATAGATGTGGTCTCAAGAGCTGCTTTAAGCATGGGCTGGAAAGATGGCTTCCTAAGCCCTGCCATTTGGAGGTGAACAAGTTAGGACTCAGGATATTCACCACAAGAGGAAAATGCCTTGTAAGACTATGCTCTCCTGTACCCCCATCTCTGTCTACACTAAGAAAAGGGGGTCAAGTTTACCTAATTTTACCTTGTCCCTAGTGTAGACACATGATAACACATTCTACCTCAATGTTGCTGGTCATTAACATATGTCTGCACAAGGGGAAAAGTCCCAATTAGCTACAACGTGTTAACTAACCTCAAATCACTTTCTTAGTGTAGGCAATCCCTGGCATAATGGGCTGCAGGAGAAAGTCAACTGGCCAAAAGACAAGCTATCTGTCTCAGTATGAGTAAGAGGAAGAAAACTAGAGTCATGGGAACTGCTCTGGGAATTACCAGCATGGTCTAATGGACAGACTACTGGGTTGTGGAGTCAGGAGACCAGGCTTCTATTCCTGACTTTCCACCTGACTTGTTGTGTGAACTTGGGTAAGTCATTTCACTTCTGTGTGCCTCAGTTTTCCCATCTGCAAAACAGTGATGATCACACTTGCACTCTTTTGTAAAGCACTATGAAGGAATGATTAAGTGAAAAATGTAAGTAAAGAGAAGGGAGGACCAAGGAAACAAAAGAGTCAGAGAGACCCACTTCACTGACTCATGCAGTGGACGGGGTGCGACACAAAATTTCTTCACCTAGGGGATCAAAACACCAACTAATCTTATGTGATCTAGTTATTATAGCACAAGATTGTCAGAACCCATAGATTATATTCCCAACTCAACCACTGACTTCCCCGCTGAACATGAGCAAGTCACTAACCCTCCCTCTGGCTCAGGTGATCTATGTGTAAAATGAGATGTTGAGAAGATTAGTTAACATCTCTAAAGCACTTTGAGGTTTTAAGAAGAAATGTGCTATATAAATCCAAAGAACAATAATCATAGCTAATAATAATAATACAGAGTAGATAAAAGTCCCTTTCCATAACAATCAATGCAATAAGTGCAACCTCCTACAGAGTAAAGGGAAACTTTCTCTTTGTATTGTCTGCCTCTCCCTCCTTGATAATTAGACTCATCAGTGAAAATCATTATTGAAATCAAATTTTACTCAGAAGACGCCACACAGAAATTCTTCCTGGGTAAGATGGGATGATACCACACACTGGGTCACATTCCACTAAAAGTAACTAATATGCAAGCCCAAAAATCTGTAAGAATAAAAACCAGGCTATGGGCATTTATTATCTTTTATGGCATTCCATGCAGTAATGCCAGAACCAGGGGCTGCGGGGGTGGGCCATGGCCCAGCACTTTTTAACATGGGCTAGTTGGGAGGCATGGGGGGCATTGCCTCCCCCAAACTGCAAGCCTCAGGCAGATGCAGAACGGTGCTGGCAGGCGCTGTGGGGAGGAGCTGATCATGGTGCTGCAGGTGCCAGATGGTGACTGGTGGGAAGGGCAGAGGGAGGAGTGCGCAGCTGGTTCTTGGCAAGCTATGTACAGTCGCTGGGAGATAGGAGACACAGAGCACCGGGGGGGCGGGCGGGGGGGGGCACCACTTGGGGAGGGAGTGCAGGTGGTTAGGGCCACAAGGGAGTATAGGGGTTGGGGGAGAAGGGATGTAGGAATCAACCTTGGCCTTGGCCTCCCCGGTGCAGGAATCAACCTTGGTCTTAGCCTCCCCCCCCACTGCTACAAAGGTTCTGGCGCCCTTGATTCCATGCCAATAGCATTGGACTTCTACCAGCCTCCCTTGTGTT